TGGTCTAGCCTGGTCTCAGATGGTCTAGCCTGGTCTCAGATGGTCTAGCCTGGCCTCGGTTGGTCTAGCCTGGTCTCAGATGGTCTAGACTGGCCTTGGGTGGTCTAGCCTGGACTCGGGTGGATGTTGCAGGTGCAGCCTGTTATCCTGAGTTGGCAGGAGGAGGCAGCTGTTGTGTGTGGGGAAAGGGAGGCAAATGGGCTCCCTCCCGGCTGAGTGAACAGCAATTTCCACGGTAAGAAAGGCTGGAAAAACGTCATCTTTTCCTCACACAAATGAAGATCAGGACCCTGTTGCTCACGGATATCATTTTAAATGTGCAACCTCTGGCTCCAGCTTAGCATCCGAGACACCTTTCAGTCTCGTTTCCTTTGCCTTTTTATTGAAAGCATAGCCATGGCCTTCCACACGCACCCCTGCCCTTCCCCTAGGTGACCCCTAGGAGCCCACGGGCAGGTGTTCCTGCTCCCACGCACACAGGTGAGAACCAGGTTCACCGAGCTAACAGAACGCGCCCCCCCACACTGAGGGCGAATCCCAGATCTGGGGTTTAAACTCTGATCTCATCCCACTAATCACGGCAGCCGCCCCCTCTGAGAACCGCGAAGCATTAGAACCACCTGCCCCTAGTGACACCCTGAGCGCCTGCTGGCTGCCAGGGGGACAGCAGGTCGGATGGGATAGGTCAGGTGCCGAGGTTGTGAGTTGACTGAAGGAAGGAAGGCACACACCGAGGGGTTCTGGTGTGGATTCTGAAATCAGAAGCTGCGTATCGGAACCGCCGCCTGCTCATTGCCGCGCTCAGCACCGGGCAGCAGGTCGCACTGAGTCGCACTGCGGAGCCAGCAGCTCTTCCCCTCCCCCTCCCCGAGCTCCTCCGTGCCCGCTCACCCGAGTTTCCCCTCCACGTGTTTATCCTCGCGGCTCCCTGTTTTCAGTAGCTTCCCTTCCGGTGCCTTTAGACAATGCGGGTGCCTGGACGTCCCCATGGCTGTCAGGCCGTCAGCTCTGCACAGCCCGCCCGCCCGCCCGGCCCGTCTGAAGGCCCCTGCTTTCACCGGACTGCAATCTTGATGTGGCTTTTAAAGCCTGGCTGTGGGTTTCATCACTTTTCCTTTCATTTTTCCAGGACTGCAGACAGCGGGGTGAGTGTGCAGCCGTGCACAGTCCACCCTCGGAAGCCTGCTTCTCCAGACCCGACGCCTTCACACTGTGCAAAAGATGACCTGCCTTTGACCTTCGCTGCTCCCGCCGACCTTGACGAGGCGTTCAAGAACCAGACCTTCACTTTTAGCACCCCCTCCGCCATCTAATCCTGCGTTCTGATACACTAGACCAGTGATGGCGAACCTTTTGAGCTCGGCGTGTCAGCAATTTGAAAAACCCTAACTTAACTCTGGTGCCGTGTCACATATAGAAATTTTTTGATATTTGCAACCATAGTAAAACAAAGACTTATATTTTTGATATTTATTTTATATATTTAAATGCCATTTAACAAAGAAAAATCAACCAAAAAAATGAGTTTGCGTGTCACCTCTGACACGCGTGTCATAGGTTCTCCATCACTGCACTAGACCCTTTGGAGCAAAACCCAGCCAGCTGCCTGCTCTGGTTCTGGGCTCTCTCCAAGCTCGCCCTCCTTGACCTTGAATCTCCTTTCTCTCTCCCCACCACCTCCTGCCCTGTGGCCTGGCCTCAAATCCCCATCTCCGCCTGGCGCCTGGTCTGGTCCGAGGGCCGCCTTGCGCCCCTGACACTGTGCCCACCCCCGGGCCTGCTGCCCTGGGGTGGGGGAGGGTGGGTAATCCGTTTCTTTTGAAAAATTTTCTCTGGTTGGTGGAGGAAGGAGGGCTGCCTAAGACTCTGACCTGGTACAAATAAAAGACAACCATGCCTTCAAAATGGCTCCCAGGTCCCAGGCTTCACAGGGCAAACGCCGGCGTAGATGACTTTTATTTAATACAGTTCATTCTGAGCCCTTTGAAGTTTAAGATCACGGAAGCCCAGAGCCTGGGCGGGGAAGGACGCTGCATAACTGAGTCGCAGGCCTGAGGAGCTTTCCCCAGCAGCCAGGGGGGCGGGGGGGCAGGGAGGAGGCCTGGGGAGAGAAGGTTCCCGCCACCTGGGGCAGGCGGGCTTCAGGAAGAAACCGCGGGGACGGAATAATTCCCTCCGACCCCTTTAGGTTTCCCAGGTTGGACAAAAATCAAGTTAACATGAGACAGAGGAACAGGCGAAAATGATGACGTGTATTATGCACGTATATACGGGGGTTCCCTAGGAATACGAGACAGATTGGGGCCTCACCTTCGGCCTCAGGGGTGGGATCTGCCTGGGCCCGTGAGCACAGCCCATCTCCCAGGCCCAGGGACCGGCTCAAGGAGGCCCTGGCTCAAGTCGGTTGTCTTGACCCAAGGCTCGTGCCCCGGAAACTCATGGCGGCAGAACGGGTCCCAGCGCTGGAATCAGGGTTGTTACTGAAAACGGCGCCTGGGCATCAGACAGGCGCGGCGCGCCATATTCCACAGGATCAGGGACAAACGGCCCAGCAGCACGAGGCTCCGGAGCCGCAGCCTGTGGCCCCCACGTCTAAGAAGGTCCGCTGAGACCTGGCCTCACTCTGGGGGTGTAGACCTTCGTCCCCGTGCCTCAGTCCCTGGCAGTCTTCACCCCCAGTTACAAACCAAGCCCCCGTCACGCCGTGGCCTCGCACCTAATGCGACGGGAGGAGACCCGCTGTCTTTCATGGAAACCGCCATTCCCGGGAGAGGCGGACCGAGCTTGTCTTTCTAACGACGGAAATCCAATCGTCTTCTCCCCTGACAGCGCGCACGTGGGAACCACTCTCTCTAATTAATCGGTGCTACTGCCTGTGCTGGGCCGTTCTGTCTGGGAGGCTGATCAGGACGTGGGGCCAAGGCCACTGGAAGCCTCCCGTTCGCTGAGCTCAGCCAAGCACCCACCCAAGTCAGCTTTGCCGCAGGCGGCCTCCTGCGCTCCCAGTAAAACACACGTGGCCAGGGCTGGG